TAGATAAGACGATGCTTAAGACGACTTCCCCAGATCACTGAGTCATGTAAGAGAGGAGGAGGTGCTCAGACATGGGGTGCCTTCCTTTCCAAGGAATATGTTTTAGAAAATTACAGGTTTCTTGAAACCATCTTTGATTTAAAAATATATGTATTTTTAAACAAATGAGGTAATAAGCAAGAAAACCAGGAGAACTGTGCCTACCAGACAGTTGGCACACAGTTTATTCTTACCAAAGTGTTTGCTTAATGAATAAATCATCTGAACCATGTATAAGTTTAATTTAGAAATAAACTACTTTTCTCATGCAAAAAAAAGTTACCAAATTTTAGGGAGCTGTAGATCATCTTTATTTGCCCTCTGATTTCACACTATCAACTCCTGCAATGTGAGGGGAGCAAGCCTGGTGCTCCTTAATGTAAATGACATCAGCTATCTACCATCCAACTCTTTTCTCAAGTATTTTGGTATTTTAAAATTGGGAAATCGTGGGATTTCAGAGGTAGTTTAATAACATGAGCTGGAACAGATTCAGTTCCTGGACACAAGACAAGACAATATGCTCCGCAAATAAGCTGAGAATTAAAGGGACACAGTAGACAACAAATTTAGTGAATACCTCCTTCTCCAAAAAAGAAAAAGAAGAGTCTTTAAAATCAGATGAGAAGAAAGGAAATCACATTTTCTGACACTCTGACATGTGACAAGCCCTTTACATATATCATCTCATTTTAATGATAGTCAGAACCTCTTAGTACAGCTTCTTTGAATGAATTTTAGAAAGGTATCCCCTATGTACAAATGAAATACAATAAGGCATCCATTTTGGTACATGTTTTAGATAAAGGAAACCCTACCAGGACTCACAGCTGAGTAAACAGAATTCAGGTCATAAAACTACTCTTCATATCTGAGACCCTTGCAGTGGTCCAAAGAAATTATGGCATAATTAGGACAACCACCTACTGTTAGCCCACGTGGCCTTAGGAAAGCATCTGCAGAACTTTCAAATAATAGATCACCTAACTACTCATTGTTTACACGACAATAATTGATACCCAGAGGTGTGACTTGCCCTTAGAGTCATGTCTTCCAACTCTAAATCCAAAACTTTTTTCAGAGCAAAGATGACAATTTAAATAGCTGGTGACAAAGCTCGCCTTCCCAAAGGGTAGTTTCAATTTCAACAAATGCTTCTGAAAATATTTTTCAAGTAAACTGAAAATGACAAAGTCTCTTGGTCAAGGGAAAGGGCACTGGGGGAAGAGCACTTCTGAAAGCCCAGAAAACTAATAAAGGAGGGGATGATGTCAGAGGCAGTGCAGACCAGCTTGAAACCCTGAAAGTAATCCTCCAGAACCTGATCATGAACCTTCCTATAAAGGGAGGGGGGTGATACCAGGAAGAGTCAGGGATGCTCCTGAATAAAAATCAGAAGTCCTCTCCCCCTTTCCTTTTTTTCCCATTGAACATCTCCAGAGATGAGGCAAAAGTGGTACTGATTTTGACAAAACTATATAAACACAAGTACATATCACATTCCATTGATTCTTAGACAATTTTTTTCTAAACTTCATAGTCTCTGAAATTAGGATGGTTTCTTATATAGTACAACCCCTGTCAGGCAGACAGATGTTCGTTATCTGTGCACAAAGGAAAATTATACATTGTTGATTTAGTCTTGACTTAACTGATGTGTACAAGGTCTCCAAAAAGATTATGCTATTAATTGGTATTGAAACAAAAGTATTGTGTATGGAGAAGGCAATGAAAACAAGCAACTAAGATTCTTATTTTCATGTAAAAATCTGTACGTTTAAATAGAAATATGATATGATCCAGTAATTCCACTACTAGGTTATTTATTAGAAGAAAACAAAAACAGATTTGAAAAGATACATGCACCCCTATGTTTACTGCAGCATTATTTACAATAGCCAAGATATGGAAGCAACCCAAGTGTCCATCAACTGATGGATAAAGAAGATGTGGTCTATATATACAATGGAATGTTACTCAGCCATTAAAAGAATGAGACCTTGCTATCTGCAACAGCATAGATGGACCTAGAGAATATTATGCTAAGTGAAATAAGCCAGACAGAGAAAGACAAAAAAATTCTAAGTATTAAAAAGCATTGTGTCATAGTTAATTAGTGGCCTATTATTTTCTGGTGGTACTTAAAATAATGATTTACCTCAGAATCAACAGCATCTTAGATTTTAAAAATTCTATATCTTTTTGTTTTTATTACTTTAGACTTACCTTAAATTTCAACAACATTTATTTTTTTAAAAGGAAGATTATATTCTGTTTCTTGATTTGCTCATTTATGGGTCATGAGAGTAAAATAATGATGGCACTAAAGTCTTTGGTTTCTGTTCCCTCTATTTTAGAAAAGACAAGTTATTTTGAAGTTCTGGTGTTTGCATTTAATTCTAGAAGTTTATGGCCCAATTCTCAAAAATCACCATTCAAAAGAACACAGACATACTCTCCAATCAGTGCTTTTAAAAATACTATTTTTCAGCATAGATAAATGAGAACAGTATTTTTAAACCATTGCTATTATCTCCAAGACAATGTGCACCAAGAACACATTTGAGATAATTAGTACTACAATTTTGCTCTTCCAATTTCAAAAACACCAATATACCAAGTTCCAAATTGCTAAACTTTTAGGATTATGGGTAACTGGGGCGCCTGGGTGGCTCAGTCGGTTAAGCGACTTCCTTTGGCTCAGGTCACGATCTTGGAGTCCCAGGATCAAGTTCCACATCGGTCTCCCTGCTCAGCAGGGAGCCTGCTTCTCCCTCTGACCCTCGCCCCCATGTGCTCTCTCTCTCTCTCTCATTCTCTCTCCAATAAATAAATAAAATCTTTAAAAAAAAAAAAGATTACAGGTAACTATTCCTCCTAAGAAAAATGATAAAGTGGAGTTTGTGTGAACTAGTTAAAGCCTAACAAAAGCAAATGAAAACTCTTGTGCTTTCTCTAAAACAATTATTACTTTTCTCATTTTTTGGCCAGTTTCTGTAGAAATGAATATTTCCCCAGCTAATTCAAACACTGCTATAGATAATATTAAATATCCATATTGCTATAATACCAAAATTTTGGACTTTTGACACGCACACACACACACACACACAATAAAGCTGCAACTCCATACAATTCATGAGCTTCTATACCCATGGCTTCAAATTTACATCTATATATATAGAAAGATTTTAAAATCTTGAAACCATAATCAATTCTATCACTTCAAACTGTATTTTGAGAAAGGGATAGCAAGGGGAGAAAATTCTCTATAGAATAAATACCCTCCATACCATACAAAAGAGGATTGTGGAAAGTGAAGAGAGTATTTACTTCTAACCCCCCCTCCCCTGCCGATTCACAATGCAGTTGTGTCCTCTTAGTACTAAAGACTTAGAAGTTCTGCAGAAAAGAGTTTTACTTTAACCTTGATGAAATCTTTTTTTGTTGTTTGGTTTTCATTTTGTTTACTACCCATTTACTTCCTATCTATTCTACATGGAACACACACTCTTGTGAACACAAGCATTCAAACTTTCACTAAGTTATTAGAGCTATAGAGTTAGATGCTTTTTGTGCCACAGAAACTTTTTTTTGGGGGGGGGTGGAGGGGCCATAAGAGGGTCTTGAATCCAATAGATGGCCCAGGCTGAGTCTTTAGACTTTAGAGAAAAGCAAATAGAGGGAGATCTGGTCACATATCTCTTCCTGAAAAAGAAGTACCATGCAGAGCCCTAGACAGTACCTGCTGTCTCTCTGGCCCAGCTCCTCAAAGAGTGTTACTCACTTGAGAGTAGGAGGGCAAACCTGGGTCCCTTCTTCAATACTACAGTCCACCCTCTGAAGTGTGTTCCTGATACCCCTTCACCCCACCTAAGCTGGACATACACACTCTTATGAGCAACACTTCACACCATCGTGCAAGAATAAAGTAGAAATATCCTCAAACTCAACTTTTATGATAGCTAGAATGAATGACCTAGTTGTAATGTCTTGGGTACAATCTGTCTATCCATAAGCCAGTATCCCCCTAGTGACCGTCTGTCTACTTCCTGACCTAAATGCCATAGTTGTCAATGTGAATAATTTAGCAATTCCCAACTATCTGCTACACAAAGCTGCGTATCAGAGATTAAGCCAGAAAACAGCTTTCACATACATTGTGACTTTCAGAGAACATTCTGACATTTCAGAATAAGATGCACAATAGAAAATAAAATATACTGTCCTCACTAGTACATTAACTTCATATAATATCTCGTCCTTCTTCTAAAATAAAAAATACATGTTGGATGACCATTAAGTATTTTAAAGTTTAGAGAACAAGAATATCTGTTTGCCCACCCTTCTCCTAGATTCTGGCACCACAACTCCTATCCCAGCATATATACTCACTCAAAAATGATGAATCAATGTAGTCAATCAGCTCTATGAAGGTTTTATTTAGGCTTTATTCTTTAATTTTACTTCTGAGGTATATTGTAAGTAATTTTATTCTGAGGTATAAAAACTCCAGTTTTAAATAATGCAATATATGTTAAAAAAAAAAAAAGAAGAAGAAGGTAGCGGGAGGGGAAGAATGAAGCGGAGGGGTAGACGAACCATGAGAGACGATGGACTCTGAAAAACAAACTGAGGGTTCTAGAGGGGAGGGGGGTGGGAGGATGGGTTAGCCTGGTGGTGGGTATTGAGGAGGGCACATTCTGCATGGAGCACTGGGTGTTGTGCACAAACAATGAATCATGGAACACTTCATCTAAAACTAATGATGTAATGTATGGGGATTAACATAAGAATAAAAAAAAAAAACTCCAGTTTTATAAAGCAGTATGGAGGGAAGGATGGAGGGAGGGAAGGAAGACAAAGAAAAGAAAAATCTAAGTCAGTAGCTAGAAAAACACCCAAGAAGCAAAATTAAAACACAAACACACACAAACAAACAAACAAAAAAAACAACCTACCAGTCTGGAACTTCCACTCGAAAGATACACTCCTTCCTTTGGGGTCTGTAGGAAACAGAAATTACTGTGGCACCATTCTTAAAATTCATTTTTAAATTTCTTCTTCAACTATAGTCAAATCACCTAGGTAGTCTTACTTTCACATTCCGAATTCTTATCCTTGGAACGAGGGCTGATAAAATAAGTCAATCTCGCCAATCCTACCAGAAGATTTTTACCCCAACCACTTAAAATAAAAAGAAAGTACAAGGCAAGTGGCAATAACTGGAAAGGTGTGAATTCTCCCCTCCCCTTTCTTCACCAGAGGTGTTAAAAGTCCTGTCCTATTGGAGATCAGGCTAGCTTTTTCGTCCTGGCACAGGAGAGCCTAAATTCCGCAATTTGCTGCAATGCCATCAACTCCAAGTCACCCAAGAGATGACGTTTCTGCACCTTGTCACACTGTTGTCACATGCTAGTCACTTCACAGCAACCAAAATACTTGAAGAAGTAACTCCCATCGATACCATTTTAAACTTGCCAAAGTTCGGGGAAAGCTCATTATTATAAATGAGAATACCATTACCTGCTCTCTTCCCATACAGTTACAGATGGTACTTTATACAGAATACACACATGCACGCGCACGTGCACACACACACACACTCACAAATTTTCCTAATACTCTGGGAATAAGGTCTGGAAAGCACTATAAACTTAATGGAGGAAAAAAAGTGAGGCCCAGAGAGATTACGGACTTTCCCAAAAACACAAAACTACTTAGACACAAAACTGAAATTGAGCCACATCTATCTTCAGTCTTAGAGTATTTCCCACAGTAAACAATCCAATGCACTAATACAGATCTTAAATAAAACTGACAGGCAAAATCACTAAGAAAAAAAAAATTATGAGTTTGGAGACTCAAACAGACTTAGGCTCAGGGCTCAGCCTCGCCAAGTTATATGACCTGTCCTAGCCTCGGCTTCCTTACCTACAAATAATGAAGACCATAATACTTCCATTAAAGGGTTACAGTGAAAATTAAATAAAATTAGTCACTCAAAAATAGTGATAACTATTGAATTGTTTAAAAGATTTTGTTTTCTCTTTCCCAGAATTCTTGATTTTACAGAACAAAAATGGAAAAAAAAAAAGTTCCCCACAACTCCCCAAAATAAATCCATGGGCCACATACCAATGTCTAAGGCAGACACTTCATTATCCATGATAAATGCTCCAAAGAAATTTGCAGTGTTTGGGGGCAGCAGTTAATAAAAAAGTAGAACCAAGATGGCTTTGTTCATTACCTGACTGTAATACAGGTATCTAAAAGAAACCAACTAATCCCCAACTCAGAGTACCAATAACACACAGTGTGCCCCACTATACACAAGTCCAACAGCACCTCTTTAGCCATGTCTTAGAACAAACCAGAGGACAAGAGCCACCTTTTTCTGTATGTCCCCCCAAACAGTATTCCATTCCAGGCTCTGAAAAGTGGAGCTATTAAAAACAAAAGCAAAAACAAAAAAAACTTTTTTAACTTTCTAACATTTCTCAAGCTTATTTGACCATAAATCCTTTTGTGCTAAGAACATCTCTATTGACACCTAGAGAAATACAATTTGGAAAACCCTGACTTACTATAATGCTGTCAAATACTAGAGCAGTTTCTTGAACTTATGTTTACATTAGAAGCACCTGGGAAATTGTTACAAAGGCAACTTCTCCAACCCCACCCAAGACCTAAAGTTTGAGAAACAATGATTTAGTTATATTTCAAATAAACCTCCCAGGTTAAAACAAATTTAAAACCGTGTACCAGTAGTTTTAGAGTTGCCAGCTATCTCTCATTGTAATTACCACCAGTCCATCTCAAAGTTCAATGTCTTTAAGAGTCACCTGGAAGCTTGTTTTTAAAAAAAACACATTACTGGGGCGCCTGGGTGGCTCAGTCGGTTAAGTGTCTGCCTTTGGCTCAGGTCATGATCCCACGGGCCTGGGATCGAGCCCCACGTGGGGAATCCCTGCTCAGTGGGGAGTCTGCTTCTCCCTCTCCCTCTGCCTCCTCCTCCCCCCTGCTCATGCTCTGTCTCTCACTCTCTCTGTAAAATAAATCTTTAAAAAAAGAAAGAAAGAAAAAGCAAGCAAGCAAGCAAGCAAGCCCATTACTGGGCACCACCCCTAAAGACTCAGATTTGCAGGGTGCAGGCCACTTTGAGAATCACTCCTATAGCGGGTATAACTAAAACGCCTCCTGGCTATAAGCATCTTCATCCTAATCATTATATTTTATAAAATAAGTAACAGTTAGGATATGAATGCTTAGGGGGAAGGGAGCCCTGTTCATTGGTAAAAAACAGCTCAAAGCATTTTAATATTATTTTGAATGAAGATGCTTTCAATATTTGCTTTAAGATAAGAAACTATGATTCATTGATTCATACTTTGAACATTACTGCTTTAACTGACTGCTATCTTTCATGGACTGAGAATGACCTGTGAAAATCTGATCTCTTCCATTGCCTCCACACTGATGCCTTTAAAAGTATGGCAAGATCAGAACACCCAGCAGGATGTGTGTGGTTGGTTCGTAGCCACTTCCTCTGCTCAGATGCTGGAGTTTTTCTGCATGTTCCCTTCTTAAAACAAAATGCATTGTGATGATTGATTAATTTTGTCCATCAACTCAACTGAGCCGCAGGATGCCCAAATATGTGGTTAAACATTATTTTTGGGTGTGTCTGTGTGAGGGTGTTTCTGGAAGAAATTAACATCTAAGTTAGTGAACTCAGTAGAGCAGCTCACCCTCCTCAATATGGGTGGGTATCATCCAATCCACCGAGGGCATGAATAGAAGAAAAATTGAGTTTGACCTCTGCCTGACTGTTTGAACTAGGACATCCATCTTCTCCTGCCCTGATCACTCCTGGTTTTCAGGCCTTCAAACTCAGAATCTATACCTCTCTGGCTCCAAAGTCTTTGGATTATACCACCAGCTTTTCTGGGCCTCAAGCTTGCAGATGGCAGACTGTGGAACTTCTCAGCCTCCGTAAGCCAATTCCTTAAAATAAATCTCCTCATTATATGTATCTCCTATGGATTCTGTTTTTTTTGAAGAACCCTGACTATAACAGGTATACTACACACTATGAATTAGTGCAAATGTTGGATCCAAACAGAATAATATCAACAGCAATTTCCCTTCTAACCTAAGTCCAACTTCCTATAGTTCTCATCAGATGGTATGATGTCATATTACTTTATATTCCCTGTGATGTAAAAGAGTTTCTTTTGTACTTTTCTGTTGGGAAAATAAAATGTATCATTAAGGAAGAAAAAAGTTCTATTACATACAACTGATTCCACTAACATCTACTGTGTTATCCCTAATGTTTGGGAATGCATATCAGTCTTGGCAAAGGCCCTTTGAAAATTTTTGAAGGTTTTGTTCTTGATTTTTTAAAAATCTAATTATGTCTATATATAACCAGGGCCACTTCCATTTCCTACGTATAAGAGTGATATGAGTATTTCTATAGCCAGAAGAAGTACATCTTCTATCTTTCAAGTGTACTGTAAGTTCTAAGCTTTAAGTGCTGTAATATAACTAACATCAGCTATAACTAACAAGGAGCTCATTAACATCAGCTCATACCAAAGCGATATGAATAGTATGATGACTCTGACATTGTTTTGTACAATGTTAACATCACGGTTAAGAGCACAGGCTTAACAGATATGCCTAACCATCTACAAAGTTCCCTCACTGACATCAATTATTAAGCATCCAGACTTCACAGTAGGTACGGAGTATACAGAGATGAATAAAGAGCAAAAAAGGGAGTGAAGATGAACTTTATACAAATAACTAGAAACATGACAGAAATCATGGAGCAGTTAGTGCTTCAGTTGCAAAAGGTTACATCCTGCACAACCCTGAGCCAAAAGAAGGCATTCACCAGGTGGATAGCAATGAAAGAAAGGCTCTCCCAGCACCGGGAATGGCTATATGCAAGTTACGGAGGAGTAAAACTGCATGGCTTGTTCAGAGAACTGCAACAGGCCAGTGTCATCAGATTACAGGGTAGGAGAAGGGGAAGGAGGAGTATGAACACTCAGGCAAGGAAGCCAGACAAAGACTTAAGAAGGTAAGAAAAAGGGCCAGATTTGAGAGAGATCACTGGGTGGCATTATGGAAGGTGACTGGATTACAACAGATGGATTGAATGAGTTGTAATTTATAAAGTGCTTAAATGGCAGCTGGAAAGTAGTGCCATTCAAATGTTTGTTAGGAAGAGAGACTGAACACAGGGGCTTTCAATTATTAAACTATTGCAAAGGTCCAGGCGAAAAACACAAAAGACTCAATTCAAGGTAATGAATATGGAGCTAATGAGCAGAATTGTGAGAAAAGTAATAAAAGTAGTAAAATGTTTTAACCAATTATACCTGGGAAATGAAGGAAGAAGCAGAATCGAGGTAGACTTCTGGGCTTTTGGCTTCGTACAACGTAAGGATGTCGGGTGAATAATAGTGAATTTAACCAACTTTTAGCCAAGATAAGAAATACAAGTTAGACTGTTTTAGGAAGGACAGAGATAATGCATGTGATTTTTTTTATATCAGCAATAAAATCTGATGTTTCTCATTCTTAAATCTCTTGGGTCTCATAAACTCCTTGTAAGGTGAACAGTTTATTTTTATTTTACAAGAAAAGACTCAGAGAAGTTAACAAGATTCTCTGAGTTGCATAATTTAAAAGTTACAAGCAGCAGAACTATAAGCCAAATCCTCTAGCTCCTTGGTTCAGGGTTATTTCCACTTTACAAATTTGACCAGAGGAAACACATCATCCTCATACTCTAATTTTCCACTTTCCTCTTAACTAATTGTAGAAAGCAGCCTAAATTACCAAAATAACTGGTCTTTTATAATTACAAACTAGTCTTACAGTTGATGATTTTTCCATTGAAGGCTTTGTTATATGTATTTAGTAATGAGAAATGCCCAGACTTAATAATACTAAAGATTCAAGTCTATTTACAAGTTACAGAAACAAC